AATTCCAGTTACATTATGAAAAGAATGAGATAATTTAATGAAGGACAGAGTGTGGAGGGAACGGATGGGAAGAAGGCCAAGGAGTCTGGAAGACATGAAATATAATGTGTCTATTCTTAGATGGAAAAATAAGAGGAAGATGAATTATTGTTCCACTTGGTTGTTATCTCCAGTCCTTCATAACTTAAAGTGATCTCATTTATTGGGAGGTCACTGGGGAGGAGCTTGAGGCAGGGGGCTGGGTTACAGGGTTTGACCAAAGTGGTAAAAACAGAAGGATGTGGTCCTGCTGTGGAGGCACCATGGGAGGAGGAGGAGGGCACGGCGGCCGGGAGCATGGCAGGGTTGGGTCCTGCAGAGCCAGCAAGGTGATGGTCACCCTGAGCTGTGGGTGATGGGGGTCACAGAGACCGCAGGGGCTTAGCAGAACCCCAGCCCTGTGCAGAGGAGTTTGTTGTCAGCCCCAGCGACCTCATTAGCGCCTTGTCTCCCAAAATTACCTGCCAAGAGACTTGACTGGCATCTCCCGGTGCTGCTCCTGCTGCTCAGAGCTCTGCTTCTGTCACCGCTTCTTCAAACCTTCCCATGGCCTGTGGGATCCCAGAATTAATCTGTAGGTGGGGAAGCTTCATTCTGCACTGCTTGGATTTCACTGGGCTCCTGCCTCCTGCTGTCACCCTTCAGAAAGCCTGGGTTGTGAGCTGCAATGATCCATCGGCCCCTCGCTTCTCACCTGTGATAGAACAACCTTGACAGAAGCAACTTGTTTGAGACTGCCCCCTCGGAGCTGGGCACTGAGCTGCCGGCCCATGGCCAGTGCCCTGCTCCCTGCTGCCGTGCCCGGGGCAGGCAATGGACAGCGCTCCTTGGTGCCATGCAGACATCCCTCACCCATGCGTGCTCCTGACCGCGCTGCCCTGGTGTCTGTGTTGTGCTGCCCAGATGAGGAGGCAGGAAGGAGGGAAGGTCCTGCAGCTCTGGGTGACTCAGTTCACCTTGTTGTGCTTAGCTTAACTCTGGAGTTATTTCTATAACTGCCCCCCCCCCCCCAAGACCTTGTTCTCTGTGGCTGATCATTTAAGGGGCTGTGCAGGCAGGCAGGCTGTGAAATGGGGTGAACCTCTGCTTACTGACCTCAATTCACTTCTCTTTGTTTGAACGCTGGCCTGTGCCAGCACAGTTAAAACACAGTGGCTGTCGGGAGGGGTTACGTGGGCAGGGTATGGAGCTGTGCTGAGCTTTGTCCACAAGGAATCAGATGTGGGCTGTCCAGGCCGCTGGTGGGATGGATGGTGGCCTTTCATCCTGAGCTGGTGTTCTTGATGTACCTGGTGACGTTGTGCAGCAGCTCCATAGAAGACATCTGCTGTGGTTGCCAGGTAGTGACTGCTGGGATCCAAAGCAGGAGGAGAAGAAAGCCCCTTTAAAAACAAAACCAACTGTTTCTCCAAATCACTGTTCCTCCACAAGAATCTATTTGCATGCTGCTCCTGCTTTTGACAAATACGTGGGTTAGTTAGATACCTTAATAGCTCAATGTGGCAACGGGAGTGCTGTTAGCAACTTTTAGTTTAATCATTGCTTGTGGTTGAGAACGTGTTCGTGGTCTGCCTTCAAAATGTAGGTGCTGTAGATTTGTTTCATGTAGGTTTGAGATGCTGAATTTTCTAGGGAGCTCTGAGTCTTCTGTGAGTGTCCGTATCTCCTCCAGTGGAGGTATGGATCAGGACAGTGACGCTCTCTGCACGTATCTGTTATCCAAGTGTCTCAAAGCTGTCATGGGGACATGTCACTAGTGTTGCCCATCTCGTCCCAGGCTGGGTAGTGGAGGCAGAGCAAGCGTGTTGTTGGCTTTCTGCTGTGATTAATCTTGCAGGGCCACAGGGCAGAGAATGGTCCAGTGATGCCCACTACATCTCCAAGTGTAAAAGCTAGGACCATCTGGGTTTGCACTCCTGTTCACCAGTTCCTGCTGCTTCAGTCTGAGTCCACATCAGTTGGTGTTCTGATGGTGGTGTATTGCTGTGAAGTCCAGCTATGTGCCCTTGGCACTTCCCATAGGCAGTGTCCCAGGGCATCAGCAGGACTGGGAGCCCGGGAAGCAAAATCCAGCAACCGCCCATCCCCTCTGGGGAGTGGAATCACTGCTCCTCCTGGTAACAGGCCTTGGCTTCGGGTGCTGCGCTGGGAGGGGGCCGGGGCTTGTAGGAGAGTTGGGTCATGGCTTCGGGTCCCTGTGCTGTAAGGAGCCCCCGCAGGCTGCTGGTCCAGCGCTGCTGTCGCTGCTCGCTTTGGGCTCCAGTTCTTCAGTACTTGATCTGATTGCTCAAACCCAGCCCCAAGGAGCTGGGGGCTGGGGGCCTGGAGCCCTTTTGTCAGCTTCCCTCTGATGTACCAGTGGTTTTCCTGTTCAACCTCATGTTTCCATTTAGTCATGTAGCAAATGGGGGAACTTCTACCACTTGCAGTAGTGTTTAAAAACAAAAGCAAGGTGTGCTTTATTTTCTCCCCTGGGATTCCTCGAGTATAAATAACTTCACATATTCTGATCGGTAGCAGTTCCTTCTCCCTTAAAAAGCTGCAGCCAGTGTACGTTATCACCAGTGGCTGGTGCCACCCTTAGTCACAGCTTTGCACTGTGCTTGAACTGAAAAGCTCAAAACCTGCTCAATAAAAATCTTATGTTTAACATAGATTCTGTCTGAAACTGGTTGAGGCTCTCAGTGCAGAGCCCTGTGCTCGGGGGCATTCCCCCAAGCCCAGGTTTGAATTCTTTGGGATCTCATGTCCCCTGTCATTTAGCTCCTGTCTGTAAATAGAGGCTGAAGTGGGCTTTGTTTGTCTTCAGGGACTTTCCAGAACTAACTGACTTCTGCCATTCTTAAAGCATAGATGGACCCCAGGGCATCTTCCAACCAGTAGAAATAAAACAGAGAAGTGAGGGGTGTGTGGGGTGGGGTTTGTAACATAAAATTGCCTGTTACTTAGTGAGTAAGGCCCCACTGTGTGTTCTGAACAGATACACAGCCCTGCTCACGTCCGCTTGTGCCCAACTCAGGACTTGCTCATTGCGTTTCTGTAGCTACCAGAAAATGTTGATTTCGCAATCCCCAAGACCTTGTGTTATTCATAGTTTGAATCTGGCCTTTCAAAATCATGTTCCCATTTCAGATCTGGTTTGTAGAGTGATAGAAAAACCCCAAACCAGTCAATCCTGTGCTGTCTTTGTAACTCTACATTAGAAGTCTCCTGTAAATCCTGGTTTGCTTGTTTTGTCATTGCTGCTTTATGAAAGCAACAGTCCTTACTGTTACTCGGTGGGTTTTGTTGGTATGCTCAGAATGAGTAGGAAATGAGTTAAGCTGCTAAATAAGCAGTTAATGGGATGTCATTTTGAGAGCATCTGCTTATCACTGCCTGGCTGCCTTCAGTTTTGATCCACGTTGCAGCTTCCCTGTTGTGGCTGGGGGCTGGGCTGGGCAGGGGAGGGGTGGGAGGCCTGGATGGTTTGTCCCAGACTGAAGCCAAATCTCAAGCCAGGTTCCATCCCGGCTGGCTTCAGGCATGGAGCAAGGAGCCACTGCTCAGGCTCACCCATCCCCTGCCCCGGCAGCAGGGTCCATAGGAGATACTGCTAGAGCTCATCACTGGGACAGGGATTGTTCTAAGGAGTGCAAACATCACCTCTGTGACCGGTAACATCTGAATTCTGGAATCGTCAAGGAGTGATCAACAGAAGGGAGGTGGCAGAGAGCAAGGGACAAACGTGGTGCTTTTGGTCCCTCACCTCCCAGAAAGCTTCTGTCGACTTTGTAGGCTCAGGAGCTGCAGGACTTCCATAGGTTTGGCGAGAAAAATCTTACTTACACTCTTTGCAAATCTGCGCAGCCACCTATGGGCAATTCTCCAAGCAACGAGTCAGTAGAAATGATTAAAGTTGTATCCAGCTACTCGAAATTAACACACTTGATGGCAAATAGAGCAAAGCAGGAATTCCATGTCTCTGTATTTGCCACAGGCAGCTGGTGTCACGACGGTTACTAAAGGGAGGTTGTTGAGGCATCGCTCTGGTTTTCAGTTCAATACGTTTTCCTGCCTCCCACAGATCCTGAATTTCCTCCTGCTGCTGAGAGAAAAGTCTGATTTGGGTTTTATTCCCCACTATGATGTAAAAATTGTCCAGAAGCAGTGTTGTTGAAGATAGAACTCAACTAATGTTTCTCTTGTAGCTGTACATTTAATGTGTGCAGATCAGTTATCTCCTCCAGATCCACATCCGGGGTGGGCTGTGTTTCTGAAAGGGCAGAACTTTGTACTTCGTGTATTTTTGCTGCTTCAGTTTTCGTAACTTCTGGGGCAATCTGGAGATGCTTCTCCCACTTTATCCTTGACTCTGATGTGCTTGAGCATCTCACAGAAGCATGGTTTTTGCTCAAGGCCAAGTCATTAGAAGTAAATCCGTGTAGCTGGAAGCTCAGATTGCAAGATATGGTATCAGCAGGTCATGTACAGCAATGAACACGTACAACTAAAAGCACATACTTCAACATGTATCGAGGCTGTTGATTTAATTACTTGACAATCATGTATGTGTGTGAATGTTGTGAAGCCAGGTACAAAATGTACCTTCTTAGGGAAAATCTGAGGAGAGGGGACTCAGAAACTAAAAGCAGAGGTTTGTCATTGGTGCTCATGGAGGAATATCCCAGTGTCTATGCTTTATTTTCTTTATTTGTGGAAAAAACTCCCCCCTTGAATGCACTAAGGAAAGCCAGAACCCCAGCCTGGTTTGTGTTGGAAGGGACCTTAAAGCTCCTCCAGTTCCAACCCCTGCCAGGGGCAGGGACCCCTTCCACTGGAGCAGCTTGCTCCAAGCCCCTGTGTCCAACCTGGCCTTGAGCACTGCCAGGGATGGGATATTGTTACAAAATACTGTTTCCAGTTGGTATTCAAATACATTTCTCCTGTTGTTCATGGTTTGCTTTTGTTTTGTTTTTCAGCCGGAAAATCTCCAGAAGAATTGGCTCCGGGAATTTTACCAGGTAAGGTGAAGCTTTGTTTCCCATGGAGCTCTGCGCTCACTTGTTTATTGGCATAATGAACAATGTCGAGATGTTCTGCTTTGTGAAGCTGAAGTCACGAAGTAGTTTACAGTCAAACCCAGGAGCCTAGTGGAGCCTCTGACCTCTATTGCAATGATACAGAATACGGCAAATTGAAGGATTTGCAGAAGCCTGAGATGCAGGAACCAGTCTCACGTTCTTCACTGTCTGTCAGCTTCACACATGATTCATCTGTTTGTTTTTCTTCATGCATCTTGATTGATTACTGCTGTAAGCACGTGATGTTCAAGCGCTGCTTGCTCAGCCAGTCCTGGTTTAAACCTTTTCCATATCTTCTGGGAAGACTCCTCCTGTGAATACAAACAAATAGAGGTCTTTTCTTGGCTGTTTTGATTTTATTTGATTTAGGTCACTGCATATTTCTCTCCATCATGTTATTTATTTTTGCATCTTTATCGGGGAGACTTAGGATATGTTCACTCGTTTACAGAGCAGGGTCAGCGCTGCGGAAACGATTCCAAATAGTTTGTGGAAAACAGGAAGAGGAGGGGAAACAAATGAGCAGCAGCAATAGTATCCTAGAGCAGGCACCAGAGTGTGTAACTGGACGTGGGCTGTCTTTGGTGCAGTTAATATTGTGTATATGAATGCCCGAATAGGAAGCAAATGATTCAGTGACACTCCCATGTGGCTATCAAGTGTGTGGTCTGGGCCAGTGATAGTGGAGCTGGAGTAGACCTGACCCCATCCCTCAGCTGCGGTGGTTTTGCTGTGTCCACTGTCCCTGTGTGCCGCTGCCATCAGAGAAAGGTGCATTTGAAAGGAAAACCAGAATTAAGGAAGCAAAGGGTGGTGAGTCTGCTGGGGGTGACGGGCAGCGCTGGGCGTGCTGGGAGGAACTGGGCTGTCCAGCAGCCTTGAACCCTTTTCCTCCCCACAGCCAGCAGCAGGACAGCTGGTTCCACGTGCTCACAGCGCAGTAGCAAGTGAAATAAAACTTGGTAAGAGCTCCTGGGAAGAGCCGCTCCAGCAGCGCCAGCCCCATCCCCGCAGCACCCTGCACACACAACAGCTCCACAGGCTGTGTAGTTCAGGGTTTGAGTCCTGGCGGCTCTGTGCAAGGCCTCTGCAAAGCGCAGCTCACGAGGAGGGATGGAAAATGACTCTTCGTGAACTGAAACCCAGGGAAACCGCAGACCGCGAGTGTTTTCCATCCTCCTGAGGAGCCCAGCTTGCGCACGTCGCTGTGGCAGTGCAGCTCACGAGAGCCAGGTCTTGTGCTCCGCTCAGAACCACCTCCACAGAAAGCAAACACAGTAGAATGTTTCTAGAGATTAACCACAGGATGGAAAGGTGTCTGAGTGGACAACAAAGAGCACATCGGTGAAGGAGCTTTTTGCTGGCTTGTTTTGAAGTTCCGGTAAATTAAAGTCAGGGATTTTAATGGCTGTGATGTGGAAATTCAAGTCATTTTTCTACTTTTTCATTGATGTAGATGCTGTATGTGTTTCTGAGAATGCAGTAGCATATGGAGGACTAAAATAACATCCAAATGTCACATACTAAAATTTTTAAACCATTGATCTGCAGATATCCTACATTATTAACAGGAAAAATATGGAAAATCCGATGCTGTTAAATTAAAGAGTTTGTCCAAGAAATACAAACAGGGAAAAATGTTTAAAACAATCTTTCAGGGCTGTTTTTAATGACAACTTGCAGTGTGGCAGCCCATAAAGCTTTTGCTGACAGCACAGTTGATGCAGCTGAGACATGTTGGTTTGTCTGATCTGGTTTCCCTGGATTCATTGCTCTCTGGTCTTGTCCACGTGGCACCTGCGCTTTGGGTGACAGCTGACTTGTTGTTTTAGAATGGACTGAACTATCCAATACTGGGTGGCTTTGTACCAGTTCACTCTTACTGGCTGCTCTTCCCCCAAGGAAAAGTAAAACCAAATGAAGGAGGAGTTCAGCTGAGCTCGGTTCCAGATATTTATAGGTACTGGCTTTTGGCGTGCTCCCCAGAGCTGGGGCTGGCGGGGCCCTTCCCAGGCATGTCATGTAGCACTGGAACAGCAGCGGCCTTGAGGCAGTGCTGACAACAGGCTCCTAGGAGGAAAGAGCAGCCTGGATCTCGGACACTTGCTTGTTTCCCATTGTGAAATTTATAGTGCAGCTTTTCCTGCTGCCTGCTCTGCTTTTTCCATTTGATCTGATGGGTGAATGCATGGTGTTTGTCTGGGGGCTTCGTAACACTTCGCTGTGTGATATCAGCCATAGGTGGTGTGTTCTCATTACATGTAGGTAAACAAGAAGGCTTGAAGCCAGCAAGCTTTTGCAAACAGAGGTAGTAGAAAGTCAGCATCTCTGGTAGTGCTCTAGTAGTGAGGTACCTTAGGAATGAGAGAAGGCCTCTGAAAAATCCATCCCTCTGTCCCTGAATGCTCAACAAATACATCACCTGATTAAAACATGGGATCACCAAACACATCCACCACGTGACTGAGGAGCACCATGTTCCTTCTCCTGTGAATACAGCATCAACTTCAAAGTCGGTGTGTTTGACATCACCTGTGAAGCAGAAACAAACAGATGTCAGCTTTCCTCCCATGCTTCTCCTTTCCTCCCTGTTCTCCGTCCCCCTCCCAGAGGTAGTGCATGAAGAACACGTTTGCTCATGTGATGTCCACCTCAAAGGTGAGACCTAACCTGCCCAAGCTGCTGCCTCTGCCTTGGTGCAGGCTAAAGTGGTGATTGCCTGAAGGTGTAGAGTCTTCTGAGCATCTATTGTTGTTTAGTGATACCTTCAGAAGGAGCACAGAGTATGTGAATTTGTGATCTGTGTGTGCTGGGATTCCTCAGATCTGTGTTTTCAGCTTTCCTCTGTGAGGCCAGGAAGTACCTGTTCTGTAGGGACCTGGAGAGTTGTGTTCAATTCATGTCCACAAGCTAAGCTTTAGGAGCTTGCCGTCTTGAAATACGGCTGAGGGTTGGCCCAGGTTTTTGCCTTTTATAACCTTCCGGCCTCCCCACTTAGCATCACTGCGCTAATTCTGTAGTTAGTGAATGTGAGCAAGGCAGCCAGCAGTATCTCTGAGTCTTCTCTTTCCTCAAGGCATTTGCTCGTTTAGAATCTTGGTAATCTCTGTGGTAGCACTGTCAGTTACTTTCAATGTTGTGGATTTGCAGGCTCTTCTGGTTCAGTTTAGGCTCTGGCATAAGAGAGTCACGTATTGCAGGTATGTTGTGCAGGCAGTTGACAGCGTTTGCTCAGTTGGATGCTTTTGGCAGCCCTGGTCAGAACAGGCTCTAGGCCACCAAAATCTTCAGAAGGTGTGGGAATTATGTCTCTGGTTTTACAAAAGACTCTGTTATTTTTCCATGGTTAAAAATAAGGCAGAACGGAAGCTGAATGTCCCTGAAGGCAGGGAATACTGCCTGAGGATGAGAGGTGGTGGAATCGGTGTCCCTGCTGCAGGTGTTCACACACGGTGTAGCCGAGGCCCTCAGTGTCATGGGTTAGTGGTGGCCTAGGCAGTGCTGGGGAATGGCTGGACTTGGTGATCTTAAAGGTCTTTTCCAACCTACTTGATTCTCTGATTCTCTGATAACATATCTATGAGAAGAGTTACCCGACCTGCTGGGCTTCATGTTTAGGGAAGGAGGAGAGCAAACAAGCCATTGTTTCACTAAAAATCACCTAAATATCACACAGGCGTGGTTAAGAGAAGACAATTCTCTCTCAGGAGTGTCTTTGCTGGGGAAGTTCTCTCGTGCCCATGCAGTGAATGGTTGCCCTGTCAGAGCTTTGCTGCTGACTTCCGGCTCTGGGGTGACCTGCACTTTCACCAATCATGTGGGCATGGAGTGAAAGGCACGAGGTGGTCGGTGTGTTCTGGAACAGCTCTGCACCTCAAACACTTTGGTCTGAGCTGAAGGAATGTGTGAGTGTTTTGCAGAGGGCAGCAGGATGGTTACTGGGGTTGGAAAGATGTCCTGTGGCTCCAGGGTGGGCAGGGTTTGCTCCAGTGTCTGGTGTCCAAAGCAGAAAACAGGATTTGTGCAAAACTATTTGCAAAAACAAGCAAAAATCTGCTGGACTCCAGATAAGCCTTGCAAGCCAGTGTGTTGTGTCATGGGAAGGGGAAGGCTCCTGAAGGGGAAACCTTAGAGCAGCTCCAGTGCCTAAAGGGGCTGCAGGAAAGCTGGAGAGGGGCTTGGGACAAGGGATGTAGGGACAGGCCAAGGGGAATGGCTTTAACCTGCCCGAGGGGAGACTGAGATGAGCTCTTAGGCAGAAGCTCTTCCCTGTGAGGGTGCTGAGGCGCTGGCACAGGGTGCCCAGAGAAGCTGTGGCTGCCCCATCCCTGGCAGTGTTCAAGGCCAGGTTGGACACAGGGGCTTGGAGCAAGCTGCTCTAGTGGGAGGTGTCCCTGCCCATGGCAGGGGTTGGAGCTGGAGGAGCTTTGAGGTCCCTTCAACCCAAACCAGGCTGGGGTTCTGTGAAATCAGTGAATGGAGGAAAGCTGCCTTACAGGGACACAGGATTCAGTGAAGTCCTAGTGCTGGGGATTGCACCTCATCTTTTGTACTGAGTAGTTACTGGTAACTTGGGTCTTCACTATTTTAGTTTAGGCTCCCATCCTCTTTTCAGTAGAAACTCTCTTAACCAAAACACACCTTGGAAACAAGGAGGGAAAGTGGCTGTTCTGAGGAGAGAGAAAACAGGTTGTGAGAATGGTGCTTTGGAGCATTCTGCGTGTGATGGGAACGGGTTGGTGCTCGACAGGAAACTGGAGGATTTTATGAACTCGATTTATGCAAATAGAGCATTCACAGAACATGCAAACGGGTGTCTTGCTCACCCCAGGTGTGTGGAGTGACTCTGCCCAGGCTCACAGCCTTAATGTCAGCTTGTGGGACAAAAATACAGGGGAACAAGAAGTTTCAAGAGCAACCAAAGAGCTGTTTGCAAGGGCCGTAGGACCCATGGGAAGGACTTTTACTGTTTTATTTACTTATGGGGTTTCTCCCTCTCACCCCTTCCTTCCCCATCCCTTGTACTCTCCTCAGCTGCATCGTGCCTGGGGTTTGGGGTTGGAGGAGTTCAGCGGCTGGAGCTATTCAGACTCTTGGCTAACTTTAGCAACAACCCTTTTGTGTAGCATTCCTGGCAGACAGTCACTTTAGATGAAAATGTGGAGGCAGAGGGTGATTTCATCACTCCCCCCCAGTGCAGTTTTCCATGCTGCTTAATGTGTTTGAGAGTGTTTAGAGCCTGTACTTGTAGTAATACAGAAGTTAAAAGTTTACCTAAAAGCTAAAGGTCATCTTGGTGCTGCTGCATGGAAACAGTGTGTGTTATTAGCCTCCTTAAAGAAAGGAGAAGAAAAACAAACCAAACCCCAGCCACTCAAAGGAGGTTGTTTAGTTATTTTAGTGGCCTTAAACCTGTCTAACTAGAAGGGGTGATAAACACCCTGCGCTGACCCAGCAAACCTTGGGACGTGAGATCTTGGGCCTGTCTCAGGTGGGACCTTCACCTCAGGTGGGGTTGTTGGGGTTTGTGTGTGTCTAATGTACACTGCGCCCGCACCCAGCAGTGAGGGCCATGTGGAGAGCCCTTCATGCTGGGCTCAGGCACCCCTCAGCATGGGCATTATCATCCATCCTGTCCCATGTCCAAAGAGACAAGGACCTGAGGAATGGGCAGAGGCCAGCTTCAGGGATTCACCAGTTTTGTATTTGTGCTTGTCTGTGCTGGAGCATCTTGCTGAGTTACCTGTATCCCAAACCAAGCTCCAGTCAGGGTTTCCTGTGCACTGTTTTTTTTTGTCCAGAAGTTGAGAATAATGCCCAACTTTGTGAACACATTGTGCTGCTGTAGATGCAAATTCAGTGTTTGTGTGATCTTTAACCTCTGGTAACTGTGAGTTTCCTACTCTGAAGTATTCATTATTCATTATTATGTACTATTTGTTCTTTCATAACCGTAGAAAACTTGTAAAAGGTAATGAAGCAGAGCCACTTGGTCTTAGTTGGAGGGTATTTATTATCTGAGAGGATGTAACTAATATTCAGGTATGCTTTTGTGGTTTAACCTCCAAGGAAAGCCACAAAGGCTTCACTGCTGCTAAGCCACTGCTGCTTCCTCATTAAAAAATGGCATATAACTTTATTCTTCTTTAATACCTGCTGTGATCAAGCTCTGAAGGATTTGAATGCAAACAACCTGTGCCCTGCATCTCAGTGCAGTGCCTGGAGTGTTTTCTCTAAGTTGCTGTCAGCGTTTCCTCCAGGCAGGACTCCCAGTTCAAGGCTCCCTGTTACTCATCAGTCAGAGATGTGGGAGAGCTTCTGCCTAGATCTTCTTTGAAACCGTTTGTTTTGTTTTGTCTTATCAGCTATTAGTTCTATTAGCTGTGTAAGGAGAGAGCTTACTGAAGCAAACTGCAAACTGTAGCAGTTTGAGCAACACAACACAGCATGGTTTTGCTGTGTTTGCAATAAGCAGTTCTTGATGTTGTTGCTTTGAAGCAGTAAGAGTTGGGTATGTTTGCTCTGCAAGATTAAATAGTTGCAAGTGTTTCCTAATTATGGCAATTTCATAGAGTTATCCAAGTAGATAAGATCAGAACTTGGAAGCCAAAACTGATTTGGAGCAATAAAGCACACAGAGAGTTGGGACTGCATGTTATTAGGGACCACAAATGAACTCTGTTACAAGTTTGACTGTGGAGGCTGTGTTTGGTTAATATTTATCTCCGAGATAGTGAAGAAAATGATCCAACAGGTTAAACTTCATAAAGATGCTTGATTATTAGTTGATCAACAATGGACGCTTGGGTGCCCATCCCACTGCTGCGGCTCGTCAGAGTTTAACACCTTTGAACATAGAGGAGCTGGTCTTGGACTTTGGTTTCCACAGCTTAGTGCGGCTCTTAGCTTTCTGTTCAACAGCTCTTGCTGGAAAGTAAAGTAAACTTTTAGACGTTTCTGGAAATTCCCCTGAATGTTGGTAGTTGTAGCCAAAACCTGCTTTTTGTGTGATCAGAATCCCTTCAGATGTGTGTCCTGTTCAGGGCCTGTCTGGTGTTGGACAAGATACACAAGAAAAACTTCTGCAGCAAAGCTTTATCTTAAGTGTAAATCTATAAAATCAGCTGGTATTAATATAAGCTTTCAGAGTTACATCAAGTATCAAAGGCAAAGGATGCTCATGTCCCAGCCAGGTGGTATTTATTGCGTTCTCTATGTTTTTTAGCCATCTGTTCTGCAGTCCATTTCTGTCCGTCCCCCCCTGTGTCCGTCCCCCCCCCCCAACCCCCAGTTGGACTTACCATTGGGTCCTGCTCCAGCTCATTCCCAGTTCTTGCTGGTGACAGCCTGGTTTTAAAGCAGGAAAGCTGTGTATCACAGTTGGACACTGGCACTATTGACCTGAGCGAAGCGCACAAAGATCCACGAGGGCGGATGTGGGAGGAATATTTACTTTTTTCCTTTATATAGTAACACTTGTTGGTGGCTGAGCTCAGAATGCTTCACCGAGCAGGTCGGTGTCAAGATTTGTTTCGATGATGGGGAAGCTGAAGTACAGAAGAGAAAGTGACTTGTCTGAAGTCACTTGGGAACCAGCAGCTGTTTTCTCCTCTTTGCAAGTCTAACCTGTCTTAGGTTAGACGTGCTGTGACGTGCTGCCTTCACTGTGGGATCTGTGTGCTCCTGCTGGCTCTGGTGTTTATGAGCAGCTGCCCCTCGTGTGCCGGGGCGCCGGCTCCGGTCTCTGTTGAAGAGACTTGTCCAAAGGAGTCCCCAGGACAGGATGAGCCACCAGCCAGTGGCAGGACCAGGGCGTTGACTGCCCCTTTTGTGCTGGATGGGCACATGGGATGTGTGCTCCGGGGAGCCCCCCCAGCCGGGACAGGCACTGTCACCCACTGCTTGCGGGCTGTGGGGCACCTGCTGTCAGAAGGAGGTGCCTGTGAAGAGCAGGGTGCTCACGTTTGCCTTGTGCTCCATGGCAAGCTGCTGCATTTCAGGTTTTGCTAATCTTGAATCCATTGCCTTTGAGCTTGATTTTCTGATGAGAGAATCAGTGTGGTCGTGGTGAGGAGCTGTGTGCTCTGTCCTCAGATCAAACGACAATTTCTTTCTACCCTGGCTTAGAAGAAGCATTTTAAGAGACCTTTTTACAGTAATCTTGGTCACTATTGATTTGCATAATTAAAAACACGACTGCAAAAGTTTACTGCATCTGTCCCTTGTCAGAGCTGCAGGGTACCAGCAGCAAAGAAACAAGCACAGAAGCAGGGCTATCCCTGTTATTTTTACAGTTACTCTGCATCATGTGTGCTGAGGTTATTGCTCTCTCAGTAACCATGCCCATCTCCTGCACCTCTGTTTGCTGCCCTCCCCAGCACAAGAGGGGGGACAGGATGTTGTGTGTGTGTGTGCCCCCCCCCCCCCCCCCCCCCCAATAGCAAGCCCTGTCCCTGGGGTCCAAAGCCTGAAGAGAGAGGAGTTCATTCATTATTCTTCCTGAAGCAGCTCGGGGAAACCAGGCTGTTCCTCCTGGGAATGGCCACAGGGTCAGCATGGCCCTTGTGGTGGTGGGGAGAGCCAAGTGCCACCCAGTCACAACTAACAGCATCTTGTACAGCAGCTTTTTAATGTGTTCCTACCCCGTAGAGTAGCTGGTTATTCTGGACTTTAAGTTACCCTTTTAAAAAGTGCAAATAGTTCTGAGGCTTGTGTCCATTCATTCACAAGATGATGATAAGACATGAAATACAAGTTGTAGGACTCAGTATCAACAGGGAGACCTTTTTAGACGTATTGTTTGCAATGTTCAGTTTAGAAAAGTTATTAGGACAGAATGCATTGAATGTGTGTTAAAGCAACAGCAAACTTATAAATACTGTCTCTGATTTGATGCCTAACCCAAAAAGCGTATGTTGCAGGGGTCTTAGTATGGTAATTGCGTCCTGGTGCTGACTATTTAGTATTTAAGATACTCGCATTATGCAGGACTAACACTTGAAATAGTGCGATGGATTTACAAGCCTCCTTCATTAGATACATGTGTATATATACTGTAGTATGTGTGTGATTTACCTAGATGTTTCTGTAAATAAGGTACTTCATAAATGAACCCATCTGATGTGACAGCTGATGAGCATTCTGCCATGAGCTAATGCCAGATACTTTCTGAAAGTGAAAAAAAATCCAACACTTAATGAATGAATTCAGGTGTTTTGAACTTGGTTGGAACTCAGTTCCAGCTCCCAGACAGGCAAATGTTTTGATCATCTCCATGGTGTTAGGTCCTCTCTGAGGTGAGCTGGAAGAGTTTGTTTTAAATGCCAAGGAACTAATTCATAGCTTAGAAAAGAAAATATAATCTAAAAATACTAGATACAATTATTGTGTCTTAGGAGTCTTTCATGTGCATAACAAATGATGCTGCTCTAATTGCTGATGACTGTTCTGCTGTTACTGCTCAGGTAGCAGCTGATAGTCCTCAGAAATAGCATGTCTGGATTTGTCACTTGTGTGATAATAGCTGTGGATGCAACTCGGTTAATACTCGTTCATCCGTCTGTTCCAGGTTGTACATGCACACAAGCCCCACTTCATGGCTCTGCACTGTCAAGAATTTGGAGGAAAAAACTACGAAGCTTCCATGTCTCATGTGGACAAGTTTGTGAAGTAAGTGTGGAGGGTTGACCCTGGACGGTGCCCCCAAAGCTGCTCCGTCACTGCCTTCCTCAGCTGGGCAGGGGAGAGAGCACAATGAAAGGCTCGTGTGTTGAGATCAGAACAGGGAGCTCCTTCAGCAATTGCCATTACTGGCAAAACAGACTCGACTTGGGGAAATCAGTTTAATTTACTGGCAATCAAATCAGGGTAGGATAATGAGAAATAAACCCAAATCTGAAAACACCTCCCCCCACCGCTCCTTCCTCCTCTGGGGAGGCCTCCTCACACTCCTCCCCTGCCATGCCACCGGGGCACAGCCTGCCCTCCGTGGTCTGCACCCTGTGCTGCAGGGGAACCTCTGCGATGGCTCCTGGAGCGTCTCCTGCCGCGCTGACCGTGGGGTCTGCAGAGCTGTTCTCTCCCATTTCCTCACTCCTCTTTCCACTGCAGTTGCTGCTGTGCAGCAGCTTTTCCCTTTCCATATATACTTTATTCCAGAGGCACTCCCACCGTTGCTGATGGGCTCAGCCTTGCCTGATGGCAGTTCCATCATGGGGCTGGCTGGCATTGGCTCCGCTGGATGCAGGGGAAGCTTCTAGCAGCTTCTCACAGAAGCCACCCCTGTAACTCCCCTCGCCGCTATCAAAACCTTGTCACACAAACCCAATGCAGCAAGTAATTGGCAAGCAGGAGTATGTAATGTGTATATAATTCTAAGTCAAAGTCATTAGACATGTAAAGTTGTAAAAGGTTTTAAGTCTTTTTCAACTCCAGTGTGTTATATGACCTTCAAAGAAGGAAGTGACTAGCCAAGTGTTTCTGCTTTATGTTTGTTAAGAAATCAGAAAAAGTAATAAAAGGCTCCTCTGGCCATGTCCTGGCAAGATAATTGTGCAAGATACAGAATATGTATCTGGCTTGGTGTCATCTCTGAGATGAGGCTTATTATTGCAGAATCAGAGGATGGTTCGTGTTGGAAGGGACCTTAAAGCTCACCCGGCTCCAACCCCTGCCACGGGCAGGGACCCCTTCCACTGGAGCAGCTTGCTCCAAGCCCCTGTGTCCAACCTGGCCTTGAGCACTGCCAGGGATGGGGCAGCCACAGTTGCTGATCTTGTGTTGAGCAGTTCCATGTGTGAGAGCACGGAGGCTCCGCCGCCAGGCCGCGTGTTGTGAGCCCAGCGCCTGCCAGCGGGGGCACGTCCCGGCGGCTGGGACAGCGGGGCTGGGGTCGGGGCAGGCGGTGCGGTGCAGGTGATGTGGAGCACAGCTCACGGGCACACCGCAGTCGGTCAGGGCGCGGCGCTCGGAGCTGTAGCTCGGCTGCTCAGGCTGAAGCACATCTCAAATCGATGGATGAGGTTGTTTCCGCCCATGGGGCAGCCAGGAGCCGCGGATGTGCTGGATTGTCAGCTCTCAGCGGAGCCCGTCCTGCTCGAGATGCTTCTGGTAACTGCAGTAACCTCCGTAAAGCCGCCCCGGGTGCCGGAGCACGGCTGGGGCAGAGCCAGAGCGGACCCGGGGCACGGCAGTGGCAGAGCCAGAGCGGACCCGGAGCACGGCCGGGGCAGAGCCAGAGCGGACCCGGAGCACGGCCGGGGCAGAGCCAGAGCGGACCCGGAGCACGGCGGGGGCAGAGCCAGAGCGGACCCGGAGCACGGCCGGGGCAGAGCCAGAGCGGACCCGGAGCACGGCCGGGGCAGAGCCAGAGCGGACCCGGAGCACGGCCGGGGCAGAGCCAGAGCGGACCCGGAGCACGGCCGGGGCAGAGCCAGAGCGGACCCGGAGCACGGCCGGGGCAGAGCCAGAGCGGACCCGGAGCACGGCCGGGGCAGAGCCAGAGCGGACCCGGAGCACGGCGGGGGCAGAGCCAGAGCGGACCCGGAGCACGGCCGGGGCAGAGCCAGAGCGGACACGGGGCAAACCAGTGGCAGCGCTCGGCCCGGCCCGGTCGGCGCTCGTCGGGTGCCGGAGCTGCAGTGAGCGGCGATGCGGCAGCGCCCCCTGCTGGCGGCGGCGCGCCCTGCCGGGGACGAGCCTTGCCCGGGCAGCGGAGCGGGGCCGGGCCGGGCCGTGGGGGTCCCGCCGGCCTGCGGGAAGGCAGGGACGGTCCGGAGTGCGGACCGCGGCCTTCGGCGTGAACCGCCCGCGTCTGTGGAGCGCTGTGGCCCTCGGAGCGTTGGGTGCCCCGCGGCCTGTGGAGCGCCGTGACTCCCGCTGCAGGGGCAGCCGGGGCGGTCAGCCCAGCGCCGGCAGGATGGGAGCTGTGGTCCCTCAAGTCCCTGCCGCGCTGAGGTGAAGGCCCGTGGTTCCTGTGGGGGCACTGGGCACCGCACAGGACGGAGAATGCGCTAAAGCAGTGTAGAGTCTCTGAATCTCCCTTTATACTTTCAAACTCTTCTTTCCCTTCTAGAGAACTGTTATCGAGTGATGCGATGAAGGACTACAACCGAGCTCGAGTTTACCTGGATGAGAACTACAAGTCACAGGAACATTTTACGGTAAATTTCATTTCACAACTTCAACGCCTGGTGAATTTCTTCTGTTAAACCGTTTGGGGTTGTGCATTGTCGGGGTGGAGCTGTTCCCATCACAGTGGGGATTGTGTCTTTGCGGAGGCTGTTTGCTTTGCAGGGTGTGTAAAACGCTGGTTTCACAGCTGTGCGTCCCTTTTAAAATGAGCATCGCAGCACACAGAAAGTCTTTTGTTTAAAACTATTGTTTAGGGTTTCTTTCTCCTCCAACAACTAACTTCTTGGTGGGTCAGAGCCACCTTCCATTCAAGACAGCACGTTGTTGACTGATGGTGTGAGAGGTGCTGGCTCTGGAGCATGGGGAGCGAGTGACAGGGCTTGGAGCGTGCTCAAGACTTATGTTACCAACATCTGGGGCTGTTCCATGGCCTTTGTGATGCAAAGAGCCAGAGCTCAGGGTTCCGCTGGCGTGTGAGTGATGCGTAGGGAAATGTGACAGCACGTGTGTGTGGAGCTGCCTGTGTGAAGCAGAGCAGAAGTGGCTGTGCCATCGCTGCAGGGACTGTGCAATGTGCAAACAGGTCTGCTGGTTGTTCAGGTGATGGCTGCTAGATTGTGCAGGAAAACGCTCCTTAGAGGTGAGTCAGTGACATGTCCCATCCGCCCAGGACAGCAGCGGCCTTCTCCCCAGGGTGCTGCTCCCAGGATCCCTCTGGCCCAGGCTCCCCAGTGCCTCTGGGCTCGGCTCCCCAGCGTGAGCTGTGCTGCTGGCCTGATGCACGGAGAGGAGCTGTCAGGGCTCTGCGTGACCAGATTCGCTTTCAGCAGAGGCTCAGGCTGGGTGACCTTCAGAGGCCCCTTCTGGGCTAGACTTATGATGGGACAAAAGGGTAATCACCCATGATCTTCATGTGGGAAACAGTATAGAGTGCAATGCAACCTGTAACTAAATTATTTGTAACTTAGAAACATTGGCCACAGGACTTTATTGTATGAAGTTATTTAACATGAGGCTCATTTGGTTTTGATGCCACTATGGTGGATAAAAAGTTTCCTTTAAGATGTTGACACCAATCCTAGACATAGAGCATCTGCTGTTTGTCTCCACTTTGCAAAGTTCCTGGTTCAAGCAGTAGTGTGGTTTCTTGTTTCACATACTGGCATTATTTTCTAGGCACCGTGTTTTCTTGCAGTATTCCCCAGCCACCTTTGTAGTTCTCCTTTTCGTGTCATAACTGTTACTTTGCATACCTTCTTCTACTCATCCTGTATTTATAAGGCAAGGCTTTCCTGGTTTGTGAAGGTGTCTGTCGTAGCCCCACATGGACTGTTTGTAAATAGCACTTCCTCTACCAGTGAAGCTGCTGATAGAATCAACAGACAGGAAAGTTACTGGGAAATAAGGATGAACGTGGTACCACTGTGCTGGTAAGATGTGTGCAGCAGAGAGGGGGCTCACTGTCTGGGAAGGAGCAGACAAAAGGATTTAGAGGTGGTGGTGGGGAGACTAGAAATGAGCTGCCATTGCAGTGCTGTGGCTCAAGACAGGAAGTGATCCTTGCAAGCATAGATGGTGGGAAAGGACTATGAGGGAGATGGTAACTTTGTCCCCATGTACAGCCACAGTGAAGGCAGCATGGCTGTTCTGGCATCCAGTTCTTGCCTCAGAGCTTGTAAGAGCATAATGAAAAGATGGGGGTGACTTGCAGAATGATGTTTCTGGTTTTTTTCTGTTTAGAGCTGAATCTGTTCAGTGTGGAAAAGAGACAGTCCAGAAGATGAGTGATGATTTAAATGCTGTGTGCTAGAGGAATATGTTTTACCTTCCTGTGTTAAACTACTAGTAGTAATGGCTTGGAACTAAGACAGGAAAACCTAGAAAGGAGAGGATGCACGTTCATGTTGAGCCTCTCAAGCTTTTAACTTCTTGTAGTCTACTTGTTGGCACTTAATGCTGGCCGTCTTCAGACACAGTTCTGAGACTCCTGTTGTGCATCAGATGTTCATAGAAAGGGGTTTTTACGCGTGATTTGTACTGGCAGCTCTTCAGCTCCTCTGTCCAGCCTCTGAGTGTATGAGGCTGTGGTGGATGACTGTCTGAGCAGGGATTTCACCACGCTCCTGTGGCCATTTAGGGTAAAGTTTCAGTCTTCTCTCCGGCGAGGTTTGGCTCGCAGGATGTTATGCATCTCCCTGTTTCCTCATTAGTTCTGTTTGATTGCAAAGTTCTTTAACTTCTGTGGGCTTCTTTCCATCCCTTCTAAGGCATGGAATTGGCAGCATATGGTAGCCTGTGATAATTACCTCTCTGTCTTTGAAGTATAAACATGTATCACATATATTGCCGCATAATGCTATTTTCCTCAGAAACAGAGAAGCCCACGTAGTTGCAGTTTGGCCAATGTTCACCCCTGCTGCTCTTATACCCCCTTTTCTGGCAGTTTTGGCAGCACTTCCCCAGTAAAGCTTTCCTTGGCTTGGCTCTTGCAAAGCTACATCAGGCTTTGCTGCCTGTAGTTCCTCAGCTTGGCTGTGTTAGGAATGACAGTAGCCTGCCCCTTCAGCATGCAGCATTTCTGTTCCCATTCAAGGCAACCAGGGACTCAGGGGGTTCTATTTCTCACAGGTGTTGAGATGTGAAAAAAACAATGTGTTAATGAGGTGTCTCTCATGGAGTGATTGGTTTTAAAAACTCTAGTAATTTACTGTATATTAAGGATCAAACCAGTTCATTTTGTATCGACCAAAACACAAATAAAGGTTAATACCAGGCATTTGTCATTTATGGCTGTGTATACCAAATCTGGTGTAGAACAGACTGGTCTGGGAATTATGTGGAGAGAGCGGGAGGTGTCGTGACTAGGGAGCAAACTGTGGATCGGTTGATCGGTCTCGTTTTGCTGTAGGCGAGAGGATGGAGCCACGTAGGATTCATTGTGCTGAAAACTCCGCGAACAATGCACCCAAACTAAACCACAGCCCCTGGGGTGAGGGGCACTTGTGGGATGCTGCTGGCCCTTGGGCAGCTCACAGCAGGTCTCTCTGGTCCTGGTGGGGTGCTCAGCTTGTGGCCTCCAAGGGAGGGTTTGGGAGGCAGAGGCAGGTCCAAAGGCTCTCCTCCAGGCCAGGCGTTTGGAACAGGAGAGGCTCGGCGGGCGCGCGGGGCAGCACCCAGGAGCACAGGGACGCGGCTCACCTCACCCTTCAGAGCTGCACAGCTCTCTAGAATGTAAAACCCAGCTGAAGATTAATCTCTTGGCAGAAAGCTGCTACATTAGAGCTAATGCTCATCTGCTCAGGAAGATGACAGCGCCGAAGTTAAGAGCTCCCAACAGTTATGAATGAGGCTTGTGGGTGACAACCTTTGCAGGCGTAATGATGGCTTCCCAGAAGCTTCAGATTAACTAAACAGGCAGCTCTGATCTGTTCCAGTTATAACTGGAAATACTGATGGCAAACTGGTGTGGACAAACGGACTCGTGTGTGAGCCAAAAGTGTCCAGGTACTCAAATGGCTTGGCAGTGCTTTTTAAAGTTCTGCCTCTTGTAGAGCTCTTTAAAACCATGATACAAAATGTAATCTAGAAGATCTTAGTAAATTATAAATAGATTACCTTATAAAATGTAATTGAGTAGATGTTAGTTTCTGTTGGAGAACGCATTATTAGTGAAAATGACCAAAATAGGTAAAAGTTTGAGAAGCTGAGAAACTCAGCACATTTGTGAGTGCACCCAGTGGACTTCATTCTTAATCAGAAAGGTCTCTGCAGTGGTATTGACTTTTTCCAGTCCTAGCATTTACATTCTCTGTTAATTTTGCTGTACTTGTATATTTCATGTAAAGGGTAAATTATAAATCTTGATTTTTCTATGTGAAGAGTTACTCAGAAGTTCATCAGATCCGACTATTTTTACCTGTTGATACTTCTCAGGTAGCCTAAGTTAATTGTGAGTGAGGTGCTTTTATTCCGGAGCAAGAGCATTCATACTGAAGCTGACTAGCAGCCAGAAATAAATTGATGTTTTCATCAAATCAAGAATAATTTCTATATGAAAACATGTCAGTATAATCAGTGACATTTTTTCCTGTAATTGGATCAAAGCTCATTTTGTTTGGTCCTCTGTAGTTATTGATTTTCTGGAATATTCAATTTATAGACTCACAGAATGGTTTGGGTTGGAAGGGAGCTTAAAGCTCACCCAGCTCCAACCCCTGCCACAGGCAGGGACACCTTCCATTAGAGCAGCTTGCTCCAAGCCCCTGTGTCCAACCTGGCCTTGAACACTGCCAGGGATGGGGCAGCCACAGCTCCTCTGGGCACCCTGTGCCAGTGCTGCGCAGAAATTAAGGTTTTATATTGCTTTTTTCTTTCCCTTTTCTTTTTCTTCTCTTTGTTAAAAGAAGGCAGAAGCAGCCCCTGCACAGCTTAAACGTACCTGTTGTGGTTTTGGAAGGTTGAGAGAAACTCTTCCTTGCAGTAAGTCAGATCCCGTGGGCTCCTGGCAAACCAGTGCTCATGCCACAAGTTTTTAGGGAGTGTGTTCAGAGCTGTGAGGTGGCTGCAGCACCTGGCTGGGTTGCAGAGGATCTGCAGAGCAGGAGTTGCTTTGTTGCTCAGAATAGATTTATTCTTTAAAGATCAAGAGATTCCTCAGTTCCCTGTCTCTTGCTCAGCCCCACAGGTAACCTTGCAATGAAAAAAAGTTGGGCTCTACCTCTGAACTTCAAGTTCCTGGTTTCTCCTCCTAGTAAGGATGTATTGCACTAGAATTAGTTCATTACAGAGCAGATTTAAGCAAGATACTCTCAAAGTTCGCGTTCCTGACATCAGGAAGATGTTTTTAAGCAACAGCAGCATCATAAACTGCAGATTTTGCTTTGCACTGCTAATAGAAATAAACAGAAAGGGGAGAAGGTTCTACACTCACATGGCTGCTGCCCTCTAAAGTTCAAGCTTTGTGGGATAATTATTGAAATGAAACTTCCCTTAAACAACCACCCAGGAAATGTCAAAGAGAGGTTATTAA